GATCGCTATAGTTTGGACAAGTATCTCCCAAAGGCCTAGGTCTTAGGCCTAACTTGTCAGCCTGTGCTGCTACTGGCAGAGAGTGGAGCCTTCCTGATTTTTCTTTCACTGTGAGGGACCGAATCCAGAACCTTTTCACTGAGCTATATCTCCATCTCCTAGTGTCTCATTAAGTTGTTCAGTTCCTCAGACTGTGTTTGAACTTGGATCCTCCCACCCTGGCCTTCCAGAGTGCTGGGATCACAGGCCTGCGACACCACACCACACCAGTAGGTAGTAGAACCTCTAAGAGGTGGGTGATAGTAGGAAGAAGTTGGGTTCTCCCTAGACATGGAGAGTGGGACCCTGGGTCCTTCCTGGTCTTTTCTACTTCCTGGGCATAATTCAGTGGGTGACTTCATTGGCCACATATTCCTACCATGATGTAAGGCTTCAGAGCAGCCCCAAGCAATGGGTCAGCCTACCACGGGCAGAAACCTCCAGAGCTGGGAGTCAAAATAAACCTTTTGTCTTTTTACAGCTGATCATCTTAAGCATTTTACCACGGTAGCAGAAAACTAGCTTATTATTTATCAAAAGGGAAAACATTTAGATCTATATTTGACAAAGATCCAGATATGAAATTTAAAACTTTAAGAGTTTTTAAAGATCATGTTGCATAGAAACATTTCTGGAATTAAAGTAGGGAATAGTTTCTTAAACCAGACATAAGAAGTGCAAAACACATAAAACTATTCATGTGTTTACTGTGTTGCAATTTCAAATTTCACTGTAGGAAGACAAGATAAAGTTTAAAGAAAAGCCACAAACTGAGAGAAAACATTTGCAATGCATGCTGGTGACAACAAATTAGGATCTGTCCAGGTCTGTACAGATCTAGTGCACATCTGTAATCCTAACCCTGGGAGGCTGAGCCAGGAGGATTGCAATTTTGAGCTCAGACTCAGTGACTTAGAAAGACCCTGTCTAATAAATCAAAGAAAATAATAAATTTTTAAAAATGGGTTTGGGATGTAGACCAGTGGAAGGGCCCTCAGTTCAATCCCGAGTACTACACCCCCCTCCAAAAAAAAAAAAAAGGTCTAGAATATTGACACACTGTTAAAAATCCATCTAAAATAAAGAAGCACTGTTTACTAAGGGAAAAATCAGTAAAGGAAGCAAGTACACTCTTCTCTGCCTCACCAGTAGAGAGAGAAATGCAAAGTAAAGGAACGTGGTACCGTTCTCTCCTCTCATAGGAGTGAAAATAAAAAAGCCCAACATCCTAGTTTTGGGTATGAGGTACGGAGAGGGCAGCCCCTGCTTGGATGCCTGAAGCAATCACTTTGGAAAGTTGTGCGGAACCAACTTTCAGGGCGGAGGAGCTTATAATAAAGCAGAACTTACACATAAGGGGGAGAAAATAAAATGGCAATAAAGTCGCCATTTCCTTGCAACTGCCTTGCTAGCATCCCTGACATCCTGCTGCAAAGCTGAATTTTCTGTCAGTCCTTCGCCCTGTTTTACTCTTCGATCATGTAGTATTTATCCGCAAATACCATAATGCTATTTTTCAATTGTCTTTGAGCTTCCTATCAATGATAGCATAACATGTGGTGTATGCATGTAATCATGTGTCTTGCTATTTATGTCTAATGTAATTTATTTATTTACTTATTTATTTATTTGCAGTACTGGTGATTGAACTCAGGACCCTGCACTTGCCAGGCAAGTGGTATTTTTTTTATTTTTGAGATGCACCCAAGATATGTATATACTCCGCGACTCACTCATTTCTTACACCTAAATTGGAACCTAAATATTTCTTGTTACTTTCCTTGCTGCTCCCAGATTTGGAAGAAGGAGAGGTTTATTTTGACTCACATTGTGAGCTTCAGGCCTTGCATGACCAGCTGGTGAAGGGGTCTAGCGGACAGGAACTGAATATGGCCTTACCTTACCGAGGCAAGCAGAGAAAAGGAAGGGTTGCCAAAGGAAAGAAACCCTCTGGGCTGCACTCCCAGTGACTTTTGGCTTTCCCACCACTAACAAGTCAGCTATAAGTCCCATAGTTCCATTTCCTTCCAAAAGCCCTGCCTATGTGTGCATGAGTCTTTTGAAGGGCATCTAGGTATAACCACGTATTTGGGCCACTTTTGTGTGTTAATTTATAAATTGTGCCACAGAGATGTATTTCATCCATTATTATCTTTATAGCAAACTTTACTGCTCTGTAAGAAAACTTCCTTTGATTATTCTTTTTTCCCACAATTTCTTGTATCATCTGAGAAAAGACATGCTCCGTTTGCCTCATCAACATTGCGCCATTTCCCAGAGTGGTGGTTTTATTAGAGTTGTTATATCAAAGTATTAGAAACAAATCTTTGGTTACTTTTCTCATTGCGGAAGAAAAATTTGACCTTCAGGTTTAAAGCAGGGAAAGGTTTATATAGTTCACAGTCTGTAGAAGGTGCAGCCCATAATTAGTGGCTCCCAGGCAGGGTGGCACAAGGTGGAGGGGCAACCATTCACGGCATCTGGGGCAATGGAAGAAAAGAAAAACAAGAGCAAAAAGGCAAAACAAACCTCTCTCTGCTCATTTTATCTTATCCTGCAGATATTATTAGAAAGGTGCCAATCCCCGCAGTGGACTGACTCAGCAGTCACTCTCCCTTAATCTCAGCGTCCTTAATCCCAGCATCCTTAATCCCAGCATCCTTAATCCCAGCATTACACTAGGAATCAATCACACACTCTAGATTCAGCTATCTCCAAAAAAGCCCCGTGTGAAACTGCATGAAGCCTTCAGGGGACAACTAGACCCAAATGACAACACACATCACAGTTTTTCATGGATTGTGTTTAGATAGTAATTAATTCTGTACCAGAAAGGTCTGAGTGTGTGGCGCTTGATACACCATATGGTGAGGGCTCTTATCATTGGTCCTGTGTCAGGAACTTCCAGCCACAGTGTTTTCTAAACTCACAGAGCCTACTGAAGTAGTTCTCTAGCCCTGGTGAATGATAAGGAAAACAACGTTCACAGACAATTTCATCATTCCTGTTGAAAAGGTAAAACACCTTGACTCGTGGATCGGTGAATGTTTGGAGTGAGACAGTATGAATGGGAACCAGTGGCAGATGGGCTCAGAGTCCTCTTCCTACCAGAGGGATTAGAAGGGGTCTTTCTTTTCTCAAGCCTTGCCTGACAAATTTGAGAAAGTTATCCAACTGTGAAATAAATTTGCACTGCTTTGGAGTTCACCTCTTGCCAGAGATTGTTCCAGATGCTGGACCTGGCATTGTGGGACTCAGTGTTGGTGCTGGAATTTTGGACTTTGATGGAAATGTTTGTCATTGGAAAGAAATGTGTGTCATTGTATATTGGAAGTGTTTAACTTTCTTTTCACATGTACAGGGACGAATAGATAAGAGGCTGCCTTAAATCTCAAAGGAGATTTTGGCAACTGTTAGGGCTTTGGCAACTCTGAAACTAAATTGCTTATACATAAAGGTATGCTTGTGAGTCTGTGAGAGTCGGGGCAGGACATGAGGATGGCTTGTACCTAGATGTTCCCTAAAGCCTCAGGTGGCTGGTCATAGGTGGGGCTTTTTAGATGTGGCTGGGTCTAGGGTGTGTGATGCTGGGATGGATTCATGGTAGGATTAAGTGTGTTACTTTGTGAGTGCTGCCTGCCCTGAAGGCAGCTTGCCCAGCTAGGATATAAGACAGAGGGCTGCTGTCTGCACCTGCTTCTTCTTTGCTACTTCATTGCCTTACTGTCTCCTGCTTGCTTTGTGATGACCCTCTGCCCTGCTGTCCCATCGCCCTGGCGTCCTGTCGCCCTGCTGCCCCATTGCCCCACCACTCCACCGTGGGGCCAGCCAACCATGAGCTAAAACCTTTACACATGGGAGCTAAAATAAACCTTTTCTCCTAAAAAAAAAAAGAAAGGAAGAAAGAAAGAAGAAAGAAAGAAAAGAAAGAAGAAAGAAAGAAAGAAGAAAGAAAGAAAGAAAGAAAGAAAGAAAAATGGGCTGGACAGTGTGTTATCAGTCAGGTAGGTCTGGAGCCCAGACTTGGAGGGGATGGGGAAGCTTGGAGGTGGTGTATGTTGGAGTCTGCAGTGGGCTCCGGCCAGGGCCCTGGTTGTCACTGAGAGGCCCCTGGATTTCCACTCCAGCAAATTTGAAAGTGGTGTGCATCAAGGGAGACCTCTACGCTCTCGCACCTCAAATGGAAAAGAGGGAATACTAAGACTATTTGAGTATTTAGGAGTGTAAATGTATTGTAAAATGTCTGTTCTTGTGTCTGAGTACAGATGAGATTCTAAAAAGACTTTCATCTAAATAAAAATGGAAGTATTGGGTTACTCAGGCAGGTACTGGAACTCTCACTCAAAGGATCGCATCCACTTTTCCATGGAAATGCAGCAACAACTATCTGCCCACCAAACTGTAACCAGAAGCAGAATGTAGCTAGTGGAACATGTGAACTGAAAATGGCAAGGGATTCACTTGCTCCTGTCACCTCCTACATCTGTGGGACAGAGTACAAGGCAGGGGCGTGGGGGGCCTTAGACAGGGATGCCATCAGAGTGCCATGGTTCCCAGCCCAGAGATACAGTGAGCAGGGAAACGTCAGAGAGGGCTGGGGCCAGTGATGCACACAGTGCTTCGCAGGGCTGCCCTGGTTTGCTCCAAGCAGAGCTGAAAGTTGACCACCATTTGATGGTTTTCAACAAATTCCATTGGCATCTGCATAGTCTTTTCTGGGTACTGTGTGTCTCATCTCCAGGAGTTTAAATTTTGCCCTGGAAGGTGGTTCCTCAGTGACCCCTACAACCAGGCAGTAAATTTGACTTGCTATATATATAGTTGACCTGAAATATGTATCACCGCCATCATCAGACTGTGTGAGCCTGAACCAATTCTCACAAGAGATGGCTTGACTCTCTTTGATCCCCATGTAGGAAAACGGGTCCCCACCCCTTCCAAAAAATGAATGTAATACAAAGTTGATTTGAGTATTTTATTTATAAATGTACATTGGCTATAAAAGCTGTGCATTTTAGATAACTTGTTTTTTTTTTTTTTTACTAGTTCTCAGAGGCATTTTAGAATAAATATTGTAAATGAAAATTAGTGTAACTGATACAGAACGTTGGCCCACCCAGGACAATAACATCTTTTGGACAGACTCACATCTGAGGTGGATCATTTCAGTTTGTTAAATCTTATGCTGTGTATAGATAATTAGAATATGTGTTGCATTAATAATACTACATAGAAAGAATGAAGAAACATCATGAAAGTTTACTCATGAAAAACAGAGAGTTACCCTTTTTTTTTTTTTTTTTTTAGGAAAGAAAAGAGACTAGCTTTTGGAGTATGAGGGGAAAAACCAGATATATTTCCTCAGGACGATAAATCATTCACTTGCCTCATCTGTTTTTTAAACAAACACATTTGCATTATAGCTCCACAGAGCACAGCATTTTATGTTCCTGGGATCTCAAAGATTATTTGAAAGGAAATAGATCATACTCATTATGTTGTCCTGGAAAAAACAAGATCTAGTCTGCCTAAGCTGCCATGTAACAGACTCTAAATGAAATATAAATCAAATAGAAATAGAAACAGTTGGCAATTAGAATTTAGAAAATGTTGGAGATTATTCTGTGCTGGTGACTACTGCTCATTATGGGAAAGCGTGTTTTACAGTTGGAGAACGCGACTTTATTTGTCTTGACTTGTACAATGAGTCTTACCAAGAAATATGTATAAATGAGTGTGAAACCAGGAGAGAATGTGCAATATTCATGTAATCCTTACATAATGGATGGAATTCCACATGTAAAAAGTACTCTATAAAAATTGGTTATGAATGACCATATTGTACATGTTTTGTGGTAAGGTACTTTGCTAATATCATGCAAAGTGTAAACATCCACATTATCAAAATAGTTAATAAAACATGCAGGTGGCTAATCAAAATATTGGACTTAATCTGTACATTTTTAAAATTGTTTTAATTTTTTCTTTTTTCTTTTTTTCCTGTAAAACAGAAAACACTTCCATGAGAAGTCGTGGGAGTTCGGAAGTGACTTCATTTCTTCAGTGTACTGCATCCATAATTCATTGCTGGCTGTGTGCAACAGCTCTGCGTTTTCTAAGGCACAATTTTTAATGAAGTGATGTATAAATTTCAATCTAATCACAGCTCGTCCAAATGACAAAGTGGTCAAATACGTCCAGTGGTGAGGAAATTTCTGCGCCTACATGAACCCACATGCAAAGGACCATCTAGCATGGAAATAAATAATTGCTAGCCATACTCAGTAAGACAGAAAAAAATATTGCTTACATAAAGAAACACATCTACTTGGTCTGTTCCTACGACTACACTAACCTACTAGGAGTGTATCCATAGTCTACATTCACGAAGTGTCATCTTCACTTATTTGCCATCATTTTAAGGCAGAATAAATAGTCCCCCTTTCTCCAGTCTGGAAGAAAACAGCCGGGGATGCAAATTGTGATGGGTGTTAGTCACTTGATTTCTTTCTTGTCCAGCTGAAACATCACACAGGGCAGAAAATAAGTCAAGTCTCCACTAAGTTCCTTTCTAAACTCCATGAGCAGAATCCAGAATTCTTGATAGTAGAGAAGGAGATGTCAGAAAAGGAAGGTGCACTGTCTTTGTTCACGTGTCCGGGCACCATCTGAGCTGCAGCTTCTTGCTGGCCACATCCCATGGCATCTGGAGTCTCTTAGGCTGGACTGAATGTCTCTCTCTGGACACCTGTGTATGTGGCTCCCAAAGGTGAGCAGTCATCACACCTAATGACAGGTTTAGCTTGGTGCCTCGCATTTCACACACCTTGTATGAGCCCCTTACTGAAGATTCCTAATCTAGTGCCTGGAGAGAAGCAGGCCACCTGGGCCTCATGGCTGCCACCGACCTGCCACTCTGAAGATGAAACTTCCTCACAGATTTTGTTCAACAGGTTTGGAGAAGATGATCACTGAAGTACTTCCCCTGGATTCCTCCTACCCTTGGGCAACGTCTCCGATTGTAAGTCTACCTGCTACTGCAAGGGTTCTCTGTGTCTGAAGAACCAGCCTATATTAACAACACCACTTCCAAGGTACACAAAATCTAATACTAACAGTGCAATAATTTATTGGTATGACTTCTGCCTCAAAAGGTAAGTAACACAAATGTTTTCAGGATTACAGTATATATTACCAGACTAGGGTCTCTGCATTAAAAACAAGTTATAGCTCATAGAGAGAACTCACTGTGATGTTTAGTTTTTCCAAAAATGTATTACATTTATTCTCCTGTCTTAGAAGATCACTAAAATTGGCATGCCTGGCACTTTCTGCAGCTTAATTCTGTAAACATAAAGCACTTAATTTCTAGAAATACTACAACACAACAGGTTCATTGCATCCTTCAGCTACTTCCCAAAGAAGAGAGTAACACATTTTAAACCATAAGCCCGTTGGACCATGTTAAAACCTCTTTTTGAACTATTCAGGATGATTACAATTTGATATTCTTCTATATATACTGTGCAAATGCAGGGGGAAAAAATCCACAATAAACAACAACAGAAAGCCCTCAAGGAAACACAAACACTGCTCCAAAAGAACAGACACCACCTTTGAGAAATTAGATGAATGCTGAGTAGCCCCTGTACTTGGGGTTTTGTTAAGCAGTTGCCAGGGACACCTTCAAAAAAGAAATGGTCAGCGATCTGAGAGCTTGAACACCGCATTACAACGTTGTAGGCTGGCCAGCACCTAGAAGACACAAACAACAGCTTTGGTTCACGTGCACTTCCTGCCTCAGAGCTCTGCAAACTTCCCCAACAAGCAGCTAGCTTGGCCAAGTCGCCTCTCCCCAGAAGAGGAGAAATTAGTCCCACTCTGTTCCTTCACGTGTGGTGTCAGGACACACAGGGCTAACGTCACCTCTGGTAGCAGTGTGGACCACTCAGGTGCCTCCTGCCAACATGCCCTCTCTGGACTTTTTGTGAACCAAATAATCTCCCAACAAGATTTCTACTTTGTCTTCTGGGGCAGATAAGCAAAAACAAACAAACAAACAAACAAACAAACAAACAAACACCATTTTCTTTCTCTCTCTAGATTTTATTTTGCTTTTTCTAGGTTTTGATTGCTGTAAGAATAAATTAATTGAAACCAGAGGAACTTCTCATATGATCTAGATAGAAATTTACTATATTTATTAAGAAAAAATTCAGAACACCCGGTGAAATTTGAATTTCAGATCAACATATACTTTTTTCTTTTAAATTTTAGGGAAGGGTCTACAGGGTGTTCAGGGTCTCACTACTAGATCAGACTCATAGTGATCCGCCTGTTTACAGCCTCCCAAGAGTTGGAATTACAGGTACACTCTATCATGTCCAGTCTCAATTACCATCTCAGCATGCCCCGGGGATGGGGCAGGCAGGGCAGGCCCAGGGATCAAACCTCCAGTCCCCGCGCCTGCTTGCAGGTGCTTTAATCTGCTGAGCTATTTGGCCAGCCCAATATATAGTTTTTAAGCCTAAGTATAGCCCACGTAGTATCTAGACCATAGTTGTGCTACATCAACAGCATAATCCGAGTTAAATTCATTGTTTACCTGTTAGTTACATCAACAAGTTAACGGGCATTATACTCCAACAAATGAATCATCTAAAATTCAAGTTTAAAAATTCACTGCTTGCCTGAAATTCAAATAAAAGAGCTAAATGGGCATCTTGCATTTTATCTGGCAAGCTGATTGGGAAACGGTCAAGTTCCACATCTCCTGCTGAAACCCTCACCAGGTTCCTCCCTGGGTGCAGGCACTGGAGCTGCAAGAGGAGCCACAGCATTCGAAGAGACCCTGGGGAACTGGCGCTAACTGCATTTCACAAGAGTGAAGGATGGCACGGAGTACGATGTCCAAGGCAGAGCCGCCCAGCACCGGAGCACAAATGGCGCAAGTGACAGCCGAGTCGTGACAGGTAATTTGTTTTGCACTTCCATTCCCATTTACATATGAACTTAAAAACTGTTTACATTGCTTTTAGGAATTGCATTTTAATACGCTGTTATGCTATTTTTCCCTCCACAAGAAAAATTTCATTTCAATGTGACTAGTTACTTGAAGGAAACAGGATTATATATTCAGGTTTTATTATTCCACGAAATAAAATTATTTTGTTTCACTCAGAATCCTGTGATGTAACCACCTTCCCCATCCATCCATCTAGCTTCTTCTCAACTTAGCTCCAAGTAAGATGAATGGAAGAAAAGAAATAAAAATGATCTTTAGTCTTTTTTTCTCATTCTGACTCTTTTATTGTATCTGAGATATATTGAAACAACTCAAGTATATTTATAATTCTTCAGTGAAGTCACGAAACCCTCCCCCTAGTCAGTTCCAAGATGTACTGCATTTAGTTCTTAGGATACCAAGAAAGAAAGCAATACTCTTGTCTGGTATGTGCTGACTTAACTAACATCAGCCTAAAATGATATCCTAAAATTTTTGGAAAGAATCATTAGATAGAAGGTAGGCATATTAAAACAGATTATAAAGATATAATCATCGACACCATTCAGTAATGGAAAGTAAATAAGTTACTAAAAGATAATAAACTATCCAGAAATCAACTCAAATATATATGGGGACTTAGTTTATAAAAAGTGAACATTTCAAATTAGTCAGAGTAAAAGGGATTGTTTATTAACTGTTATTCACACTGTTAGCTACCTGGAAAATACAGGGTTGGCCATTACCTTAATTTTTATCCTAACATACATTCCTGATGGCCTCCTACTTACAGGTAAAAAAGAAAACATTCTTAGCAAAATCTCAACTAGTTTTTTATTTTTAACCTTTGGAATAGAACGCTTTCCTGGTTAAGGACACAATGCCCAGAATCCAAAAAGGGAAAAATTATATGTTTAGTTACTTCAAATGAAAAAAAAAAAAAACTTGTGTGAAAATAAATCACAAAATAGGAAGCCAATGACAGACAATTGCAACACATAGCAAATGTACCACCAGGTGAGTTTCCTTGTTTTGCAAAGAACTCCAGTCAGGTTGCTAGCAGAAGAATGGTGGAAAGATCCAGAAGTGTTTCGTAGACAAAAGTCTAAATGGTAAATACCTGAAAAGACGCTCACAACTACGGAGGTGCGATTCAAAGCTGTGAGGCTTCCCCCCACTTACCCCAGCGGACTTTCAGCACTATAGCCCTAGGAATCCAGGCGCTCCACACCTGCCTACCCCCGGCCCAGAGTGGGTCTGTGACGTGACGGCACCCAGGGCTGCCTTGGTGGAGAGTAAGAGAGGGCTCTCGTGCATTCTGCAGGAGGCAAGTAGGTTCTGGACAATGATAGGAAGAATGTCTGAAAAATTAAAAAGCACACCCCTCTGAATTCAGTTTTGCTACTGTTCAGACTGTGTTCTTTGGAGGTGTTTTCTAATGTTTAGAAAGATCTATTTAAAGATGAACACTGGAGCATTTAAAATAATAAAAACTGGAAATAACCAAAGTGTCCTTTCACTAAGAATTGGCTTGAAGTTTAGGCGAATCCACACACCGGGATGGTAGGTAGCTATTAAAAAGCCATTGAAAAGAATGAAGAAAGAAATACATGGTAAGTAGAAAAACTGCCAAGATTCACCGGTAAGTCAAAAACAGTAGCAACAGAAACTGAGAGCAGAGCCCTATGACAATGTGATTAGCATGTGTGTGAAGTAAAACCCAACACATCCATGTAGACACCCTGCACATGCTTCTCCATGTGCAAGTGTGTACGTATACAAACACTCAGTGTATCCTTGGTCCCAAGAAATGATTAGGAAGTTGCATGCCTGTGTTTATAACAGTGTAAGTCACAGAAGCTAAATCTGGGAAGCAGCTTATCTGCCCATCAACACATGAATGGATAAAAAAATGTGTCTACATACAGCGGAGTACTACTCTGCCCTAAAGATAGACTTGAATCCTTTGTAGGAAAATGGACACACCTTGGGACCACAATGTTAAGGGAAATAAAGCACGCAAACGTGGTTTCTCTTATAGAAGAAGCCCAGAGTACAAATAAAAAGCAAAGGAAAAGACTGGTAGTAGGAGTAGGGAGATGGACCTTTCTCAGAGGGGAAGGACTCAAAAGATGGAGAGGGGAGGGGGGAAGGAGGAAAACAGAATTTTTCACTGAGAGTTGGCTTGAAGTTTAGGTGAATCCACACACCAGGATGGTAGGCAGCTATTAAAAAGCCATTGAAAAGAATGAAGAAAAAAATACACATACCAGGCATCATGTGCACGTACTGGCTCCCCACAAGGAATGTAACAACTATGTGCTGAGACACGTAATAATAAAAACTGGCTTAAGTTAAAATACTAGAAAGTGACAGAGATGTCCATTTTTAATTTGGCATATGTCTGAACAATTTCCATTTTTCTAACCTCATGTTGTGTATGACTTTTATTTATTTATTCTTTTGAATCTCTAGGCAGAGAATGGGGGTCCTTTTTACTTTCTTAGTATTTGTAAAATACACTAATAAAACACCTAAAACATCCTAATAAAACAGTACATCTAAAATATAAAATAAATAACTGTATCTGTAGGCGTCCACATCACTTTCTCATCTTTCACCCTGTTACAGGAACTCCACAGTTCTTGTCCTGAGATTTCAAATTAAAAACTGCTGATGTCCTTCGAATTTGTATACGTAAGAGAAAAGCTCCTGGCTTGGAGCCAAGGAAAACTAATTTCCAAAAGAAATGACAATGAATTACTCAACTCAACTTCTCAATTAAAAAAAAAAAAAAAGAATCTGGATGGCAACAGGTCACTGTCACCCAGAGGTGGGTGAAGTTCGCTCCACTGGCGTCCTTCCAGCGCTTCAGATGCGGAGACAAGTCAGAACCGCAGCGCTACGCCTCCCTCCAGGCTTCCAACCCAACAGCGCCCTCTTCTGGTCCCCAGAGTCACCTTCAGCCCGTGCACTGAACTGCAGAAGTTAATTTATAGAGTACAGAAACATTCACTTTGAAACCCGAGAGAAAAGAGTTTAGTTTTCCTTCCCGGCGTATAAAAACAAAACAAAGTCTAGTTTAAAGGGTACATAGGTATGCCACAAGGCACACGTACCTGTGTGTCTCTACTGTATGGGCAGATGGTATACGTTTTCATCAATACTTTTAATTGTATAAAATTAGTCGTAAGTATAATGCATTGTATAAATACTTCTGTTTTGTGGCAGTGACTCTAAGTTTAAATTTTTCTGACAAAGCCAAATGTCTGCTGTAAGTGGGGCGCGGTGGCACATGCATGCCTGTGATTATCAGCTGTCTGAAAGCTTGGAGCAGGAGGATTAGAAGTTTGAGCCCAGCCGGGGCAATTAGGCAGTGACTTACTATATATTTTTGTTCTTTAAATTTCCAGGCTTGCAGATTTAGAAGCCACATAAAAAGGCAATGAAAATGTTACTTTACTTACTTTGAGAAATAACAAACCTTTCCTGAGTTTTAAACCCCATTTCTTCACTCTAATTTTTTTAATGTTTAATTTTTATTTTTCTAATTTGTTCGTGAAGTGTTATTGCCTGGTGAATTTCCGTGGAACGGTCTCCTGACGTCAGGCTGGTCACCAGGGCACCTGACAGAGACTGAGGAAGAATTGAAAAACAGGCAGCTGGCTCGGAATTCCTCTAACAGCAGCTGGGCAACAGCACCCCCTGGTGCCCCAAAAGGGACACGAACGAACCTTGGACTTTTGACCTAGCTGGCCCAGGGGCGGGCAGGCTGCTCTAGGGAACTCCAGCATAGCAAGCATTTGCTAAGCTCTGACGATGTGCTAGGGAACTTGGAGGGGGAGGGGAATCCATAGAGAAGTAGAATCCACAGTTTTGTCTTTCAAGGAACTTTCAGTTTGGTCAGGAACAGAATCGTATTTGATAATGAAAGCCCTGGATGGTGACACAGGAGTTGGTGCTCAGTTTGATAGCAGTGGACAGTCACGCCTGCACGGGGCTGCTCTCCTACACACGCGCTTGGCCAAGGGACAGTTTCCGCCCTTGAGCCTTTCTTCCATCTCAGCAAGACCCACTTGGAAAACCCCTGGACTTTGACCTTCCGCTTTTACCTCCTCGTACGTTCCTGCACTTTGGGATAAGCAGTATTTTCCCACATCACCAGTAACTTCCAGTGAGAAACAAACAGTAAGAAAGAGGCTATCTCATTATTCTGTCTCCTACTTTGATGCTAAGAATCTTTCTCAGGGTAGGGGACTCAACTGATGGGGGAAGTCTGTGCGTCCCTAAGCGCGATCCCAGGTGCGCTGCCGCCTGGACCCGCTCCTCCTAGGCCTTGCTCCCCACACTCACTTCGGGATCGCATGTAGCAGTCGTTACAGTTTAGAAGACCACTGCGGATCCTGACGTCCGTGCCGCTCACTGCATCTCCAAGCTGTCCTTTACAAATTCCACACTGCAGGGGAGAAGCACAACGGTTAAAGGATGCACAGGGAACTGGTCCTTTATCACCCTTAGTTACTATTTGTGTTAGCGATACTTCTACAATCCTCCACACTGTTGCGCTTCTGTCATGTGTTAGATGCCACACCAAGAGCCAGTTGACAGCAAAAGTGGATGTACATTGAGTACTTTTTTTTTTCATAATTTTATTGAGAAATAAATAGCAATGAGACAGTTTCAAATCAAATTGGTAGGACAGTTCCAATAATTAACACATTGCATACTGTCTTCCTAGTGGTTATTTGTTCTACAAGATGCAGACATGATATCCTATTTAAAGACACTATTAGAACAAATCCCTCTATTCACTGAATTAAGAGAATGTAGCTATATGTCTATCCTAACCATTTTGAATACACAGATACAAATTGGTCATTCATCTGTGTCCCCTTTTTTTGTTTAGTTCTGTCATTTAAATATTATGGTGTGTCCTATGATGTTCAAATAACAGAACTTAACAAGGAAAGGGGATACAGATGAATGTCCATTTTGTATCTGTGTATTCAAAGTGGTTAGGATAGATATATAGTTACATTCTCTTAATGAATAG